AAACAGCCACATTGTGTGTTCGTTAATATTAAATTCAGATTATTTTGACAGATTAATTCCATCGAATTATACGATGTTTTTTACCTATGAAATTCTGTTTTCAATGATTTTGAATGAAAATTCAGAACTTCGTTGAAAAATGACTCGGCCGTTTTTTGACAGCATTGCCTAAATTTGACTAAAAATGAAATATCTCAGCAATGAAGCAAAATTTTAAAAAGAGCGATGCATTCTTTTATAGCTTATCTTCTGGCGGTTCTAATCAGATAAGAATGATGACTTGATGTTTTAACTAACAATACTAGATAGGTTTACAAAATGGAGTGGGAACACTTCGGCATACACTAATATAAAATATTGGACCCTAATATTATTGTATACCCAATATATTGGGACCAATAATATTGGTCATCCAATATATTGGATTTGCACAATATTATTGGATATCGGATGCCGTGAGTTCAGCCTACGATTTATTACTATTCTAACTTTCTGATTACAGTGCGATTTATGTTAGATCAATAAACTATATTCCACATTAAGACCTTAGCAATTTCTCATTTTATTCAATAAGTTAAAAAAATACCGTAAAAATAAACTAAAGCAATACAAAATAAAATAAACCAAAAAAATGATTAAAACCATAGAAAAGCAATTCAGATAGAAAAAATAACAAAATTTTGACGCTTTATACGCGTACTTTTGAATGTATAAAATTCATTTCTCAAGTGATTCATTCAGCACCAAAAAACAGATGAGTATTAATAATGGACGACACGTGTTACATCGAAAAGCATTGCTTATCAATCTAAATCGCAAAACAGACAGGTTGCATTTAAGAAAAAGTCATGAGGCTGCCGCTCACGGGTTGACAATGTTGCTGGTCGCATTGAGGTCGCGGTTGCTCAACTGACGCTCGTAGGAGGTGGCCATAACTTCGACAAGATTGCCAAATGGATCAAGGGTGTACACGGCCTGATAGATCTCTGTGGGAAAGACATTAACCACCGGACTAATCTGTGTGCCTCCCGACGCCACAATACGTTGCACCAACTGTTCGGGTTCGGGATCCGTAACGCAGATATGGAAAAGGCCGGCGCGTCTGTATTCAAAGCCTCCCGTCACATTGAGGCGCTCAGTTGATGGATCAATGAATTGAAAAAGTTCGAAGCCGACCCCATTGGATGCCGACATGTGACCAAGTTTGAGTCGCTTCAATTCTGGTCCGTACATCTGCCCCAAGAGGCGACCCATGTTGGTCGAATTGTCAACAAAAATGTCGACAGGAGTACTGATAACCGCGAAACCAAGAATATCGCGATACCACGTCATGGCAGCATCGATATCAGTCACGGAAATGCCAATATGGTTCATGGGCCTCGGAGAGGTTTTATTTGAGGCCACGGTCACAGCTAAAAATTAGGAACATCTTCATTTTTAGTTCCTGACAACTACTATCCGCCCCAAAATACCAAGCCATAGGTTACTTTTGGAACAACTCACACTGAGAGACAGCGACCTGCGATTTTCACCATCCTGTGGTTAAGACCCTAAGACATGTTTTTGTAAGACCCTAAGACTGGTTTTAGAACTTTATGAAGGTCTGGTTTTCCAGAGTATCTTTGAAAAACCAGCTCCGTTCTCAGAAAACTAACATACAAAGTTAGTAGTTTTTTTTGAATGCATAGGTAGTCCTCTACAAAATAATGTAATTCCCTAGCTCTCCATCTATCATCGATCGGACAGAGCTCGCTTTCTCCGAGCGCGTATTTATCTCCGAGCAGACATCTCTGGGAATCTTGAAATACCAAGGAATATAGGTTGACTACACTGACCATGATGGTAAAGTTGCTTTTTGTGTAGGAATGAAAATAACTTCGCCAGAGGCTTTTAATGAAAAAGCGTTTTTTCTCCTGTTAGCAGCAAAAAATAAAATCCTTATCTCGATCAAATTTTATGCAAACTCAAGGAAATATTCAGGAAAGACTTAAAAGGTGTCATATATTGCTGATCAAGTACAAAAAGGCGTCCGGTAGAACGCTGAGGCTTTCACGCTTTACGGGAGGTTTCTGAAAAGCCTTAAACCAATGCCCTGCTAAAATTCACTTTTTCGCCTTCGATTATGATTTATGAGCTGTCTGAGCGTTTTCTGAAAATTCCCTTCAGGCAGCATGAAATTTGAACGAGATAAGGATTATATTTTTTGCTGCTAACAGGCGAAAAAACTATTTTTCATTAAAAGCCTCTAGTGAAGGATTCCTACACAAAAAGCAACTTTACTATTATGTTCAGTGTAGCCAATTACCTATATTCCAGAGATATCTGCTCCGAGATAGATATGCGCTCGGGAAAAGTGTGCTCTGTCCGAACGATGATAGATGGAGAGCTAGGGAATTACATTATTTTGTGGAGTAACGTACGGACTACCTATGCATTCAAAAAAAAAATTACTAGTTTTGTATGTTAGTTTTCTGAGAACGGAGCTGGTTTTTCAAAGATCCTCTAGAAAACTAGATCTTCATAAACCATTTTAAAACCAGTTACTGCTTACATAAAAACATGTCTTAGGGTCTTAGCTACACGGTGGTGAAAATCACAGGTCGCTTCTATCAGCGTGATTGAGTTGTTCCAAAAGTAACCAATGGCCTTGTATTTTGGGACGGATAGTAGTCTGCTTCTACGAGTTTTAAAAACATGGTGTTGGCTTATTTAAAACCAGTTTATGATTATAAGTTTCGTCAGCAATAATTTTACGAAAACTTCTGGTATGATTACAATAGTCCAAGCGGTTGAGATTCGATTACTACCGTCTCAAAGATGCGTCAAAGACCTGTTTTTTAAACGCGAACTATTCCGTTGAAATAAAACGTCAAAATTACAGCTTGAGTCACTTATGTCGAAAAGTAATCTTTTTGACATACAGGAATAGCTGTAGGATGCTAAAATGCTGCTATTCTAAATTATTACTGTCACAGAGAGGAATTTCAGTTGCTTTAGGCTGAACTCCACACTCAGGAGGGAGATTATTCCAGATCAGACGGTTGTCATCCACGAAGTATTAGCGTCATCTTCTACTCATGTGGTATTTTGCGGAAGACATTTTTAACGAGGTAATAAATTTGTAGTTTAGTTCTGTATTTTTTACTGATTAACATCGTCGTTAACTTCTTTTTGCGAAAAACTGTTTTTTTGATTTTCGTTATACTTCAATCTGAAGTCGAAAACCTTGGTAATACATGTCTCGAAAGGATTTCTGAAAAACCTTTTTCTGTCAACGGTTAAGACCAATACAAATAAAACAATCGTTATCCGTATATTGTATAATCTGTTTGCAGATGTATTAACAAATTTTGCTCGTATCAGAACCCAGTTGACGTTCCAGCATAAGAAAAGCCATTCTAATCTTGAATATGTTCTATGTCTGCCGAAGTAGTTGGCTTAGTATGCCTTAAGCATTACAGTATTATATACAAACTTCTCAAACTCTTCGTGATGCTTATGTCACTTACCTATCATACAGACGGTAATTAAAATGAAAGAGAGAACACTGAACTGCATCACTGTGCGATGTGCTGCTTGTTTATATTCGTTTGTCGTGTATGGGTTCGCTAACTAAAAAGAAAGAGACAAATTTCTCGTCATCTGACTATTTTTGAAAAAGAGAGTCACTCACTATGAGGTGTGTTGTTCTAAAATGAATACCTACTGCGTTTTCTGTCGCTTATATATGCAGTAGTGACAACATATCACTTCCGATTTTAATTTTACTCAATAAGACTAGTACGATTTGAGTGTGCATGAGTCATGCAGGTTGTGATTGTTCCTTGTTTCAATAATTTATATTCTTATTGCACTGCAGTTTGTTAAAGCAAATGTAATTGATGCATTGGGTCGATGCAAATACCTTTAACACTGGACGTCAATGAACAAAAAGAGCGCTTTTGTAACTTTGCTTTTCTTCCTACAGGCAAAATTTGTTATTGATAAACTGTCAAGTCACAACGCAATTTGTTTACCTCCTATTGCACATAGAAAAAAAAATTTACTTCGAAGATCACGGACAAGAAAAAGCCCAAAATTCGGCAAAAATATTACTCAAAGTCACTTTATATTTCCTCATGAAAGATATGCTTTCTTCGTACATGTGCGTATCATAAACGAAAAGAAAAACAACTGTTTTTAATTCTTTAAAAAATTAGAAATTCGAGCGTAAAATGTACATCCATGCGTCTATAGAATTTCACATGTCACTTGTCTTTCATTGACTTAAGCTTCAAAATTGTCGGGTTTTTTAACGAGAGTCTCTCAGAAACTAGAAAATATCTGTCCTATCTGTTTAATCAAACATAGTACTAACGAGGGAACCTCCCAGGTTGCAGATCGATTTCCGGCTGAAACCTAGTGGGTCAGAGGTAATCAAGGGTGCTGATTCCGAATATAACAATCATTTTGGTTGATAGGTCTTCAGAGACAGGATTTCTGGAAAACCAGTTTTTCAAAACTCCTAAAAAATAACTAAAACCTTTGATAATGAGACAGAACTATAGCCCGCAGATTTCTGATTAAAATGAGACGTCTCCAAGCTCTACACGATCTTTCTTTGCAAAGTTATAGAGTTTGCAAGAAAAACCCTGTCAGCTCAAAGCTACAGAAATAAGAAATTAATTCAGGGCTTTTCCCTTAAATTCTACAACTTTGCAAAGAAAGACCGTGTAGAGCTCACAGGCGTCTCATTTTAATCAGAAATCTGTGGGCTACAATCCTGCCTCATTAAAAAAGGTTTCGGTTATTTTTTAGGAGTTTTGAAAAACTGGTTTTCCAGAAAGCCGGTCACTGAAGACCTATCGACCAAAATGATTGTTATATTTGGGATCAGCACCCTTGATTACCTCTGACCCACTAGGTTTCAGCCGGAAATCGATTTGCAACCTGGGGAGGTTCCGTGTAAGCCCATAGCACTTGACAGTATAAATGATCGTGAAAACGCTTTCGTTTACGAAGGAGCTGTTGGCAACAGATTGAGTTGATGAAAATCGTGTTTTTTACAAAACGTTACTTTGTACGCCAGCTTTCTTTCTTCGCACATTGTCTTTGACCTAAAACTAGTAAAATTACGCTTCCAAGTGAAGAGCAACAACATAAATGACGAAATAAACGAAAGAACATCATCTATGGGTTTCGGAAATCATCCTCAATTCGTCTGTTCACATTGTCATTTTTATAGTTTTCTAGAGATCTCCTGAGCGCAATTAAAGTAAAAAGCATCCTTACGTCTGAAGACTTCGACCCGGAAATTGTTAAAGCTGGGCTAAAGGTGAGATTGATACTATCATCCAAAATATAATAAAATATAATAATATACCACAAAAAAAAAGTAAAATTTAGAATTGTAATTGTAAATTGGTAATTTAAACCTTTATTTGATTAACAAAATGCAATTTAAATCAGCCTGCTGTATTGTTTCCTATAATTCGAAATTTATTACTCTTAAATCGTAAAAATGTTAAGATAAGTAAATTTTTATCATTACTATATGAAAGTCTTAAAGTGAAAAATGAAAAATAAAATTATATTTTACTTATCTAAATAAAATTCACTCATTCACTAAACAGAATAGTTAGAAATATGTCAAAGTCTAATATATATCAAACACCATATGAGTGCGATATATGTTATAATAGTTAAATAAAAATTGTAAACCTTGTCAAACAACATAAAAAGTAATTGAAAACGAAAATATCAAATCAGAAAGGCTACGGTATCGGACAAATTCTGTTTTGGGCACAGTTTGTCACTTTCCGTGCCCAAAAAAGTCTCTTGACTGTTTTGGGCACGGTTATTTATTTGAGAACGGTAATTAGCCGAAATGGGCACGATTTGCCAATTTCCGTGCCCAAAAAAACCGTTCATCTTATTTGGGCACGGTTTTTCTTTCTGAGTCTACTGAAATATCAACGTTTAGTAACACGAGCTAATGTCTACTCTGTTCATGATTTTTGTCAGTGGTGTCAACTGCGTTCTACTACTCCCATTTTACAGTCACCGCACGATGTCTATGTACCACAGTTCGAAATCAATTCCTCCGAGGATCTGTTTATGTTCTTCACGATTCGTCAGCTGATCTCTGTTGGTGCTCTGTCATATCTAATTCAAGTTCACGCAACATTCAAATTGACTTGGCAAGAACTACCTTCGCTGGTGTCTGTAGTGATCCGGACCGTCATTTTTACCCCTATGGCATCGCTCTGATTTCA